GTTCAGCAGTAAAAAATCTCTCTTTTTCCTGCCTTAACTACACTGATTGAACAAGTCCCTGCTTCGTTATATTCTCAGACTAACCTTTTAAAGTCAAAAGATTTAGGAACATGTGGATGTTGGAGTGGGATTTGTTGAGAGGTCTCTTTCCAGAGGGGCTGGAACTGATTTACCCCTTCTTCCCACTCTGTTCCACAGATATTTGCCCTTTCTGTGGCCTTTCCTCGATAAAGGAAACTACACTGATTGAACAAGTCCCTGCTTCGTTATATTCTCAGACTAACCTTTTAAAGTCAAAAGATTTAGGAACATGTGGATGTTGGAGTGGGATTTGTTGAGAGGTCTCTTTCCAGAGGGGCTGGAACTGATTTACCCCTTCTTCCCACTCTGTTCCACAGATATTTGCCCTTTCTGTGGCCTTTCCTCGATAAAGGAAGCTCTGTAAACTTATGTGTAGTCAGTTTTGGTGGTTTGTAGTTCTGAGGGGTAGTAGTTCTTATATTAAACCTAAATTTCCTTATTGCAAACCACTGTTGTCTTGTGGACATGGAAAACATTTGCTATTTGTTTTCATGTGGGTGTTCATACATCCCTATAATGAAGACTTTTATGTCTTTGCCTGCCTTTTTCTATTTTTTCTTTTTTAAATTTTTTCAGTCTTTCTTTATCAGTACCATTTCTTTAGTCCAACATGCTTGTTTGGTAGGATTTCCCCCAACTCGTGTGCATTTTTTCTTCTTTCTAGCATGACCATCAAAAGTAGAAAAGCCTTGCTAGGGTCAACCCCACATCTAAACAATGCTAACAGTTGGAATAAGATTCATGCAGTTATGTAGTTCACACATGCAGCCCAGGTGACGAATTAAAATATTTATGGAAGTTAAAAGCTGTTGATTCTATTTTCTATTCAGGAGCGATAAGGGGAGCTAAAAGGCAAATCAAAGTGGATGACTTCGTTCTCGCTCAATAAATCCTTCCAGCTTCACTTCTCCCTCCAGAATCTGCCTCTCTTGTGTCCCTGCAGCTCCAGCACCCGAGCGCTGAAGTGAGGGAGTTTGCCTGCGCCAGCATTTCCAAGCTCTTGCAGCAGAAGCACCTCATCCCGGCCTTCCTGCACAGGGACGTCGTGCGGTGCTTGGGGCCGATGCTGCTGGACCACAGCTTGGCCGTTCGCGAGACGGCCGCGGGGGCTCTCCGGTGAGCGGCCCCTGCGGTCGGGGGCAGCAATGAATGGGCACGGCAGGTGGGCGCGTGGCTCTGCTGTAGAGCTCGTGGACTGAACCGTCACCTCCAGCTTGGTCTCTGCCGTGGCTGAGCGTGCACGAGTCGCTGTGCCGAGACCCATAGAGGCCTCTGCGGGGCTTTCGGAGCAGCGCCCGAGCAGTGACAGCTGTTTTACCTGCCTGCAGTGAAATGAGTTGTGTTCTGCCCTTCAATTAGGAAAAACTACTGCGTGAAAATACTTGAGTGCAGGTGGCATAGTATTTTCTGTCCTGATAACATCACAGGAGCAGCAGGGTAGTTAGGAACTGCAAATAGCTTTCTGAGAAAACCTGTAAATATTTGACAGACTGTTTTGAGTTGCCATTCTGCATTCAGACCCGCAGCTTACATTAATGTGCAAAATATGTACATTATATGTGGCAGAAGTCATGTTTTTGTTCAAATAAGTGGGTGAAAAAAAACCTCTTTTTTTTCCTTAGAAAAAATGATGACTGATTAAGCAGGTATTTTTTTCTCTTAAAGTTGTGATCAATTTTAAAACAAAATGTATTTAAAATGTTTTTGTGTTTGTTTTGTTTCAAAACATTCATAGAAGTGTTGTATGTGATCCAAAGTGTTTGATCTTTCCCAGAAATCTCAGTGCTTGTGGAGGATTTGAGGTCTGTGATGACATGGTGACAAAAGACATCATGACTCCCCTTGTTGCTCTTCTGAAAGAGGTGTGTGTGTTTTTATTCTGATTTTAAAATTAGTCTAATCATTGAATTATCCTCTTCTCAAAAGCAGTTCATTTTTAGTAGCTATTTGCAAGATCTTTAAAAGAACCTTTTGGTGGATTGAATAATAATTCTTTACATTTAGGAATGTAAATGTCCTACATCTTTAATGCCAGCTAGGTGGATTCATAGAATACATCTTATCATCATTATACCATTAGGATTTGCTAAGTAAACTTAACTGCTGCAACTCTTACTGTGCAACTTCTTAAAGTAGTACAGAAATGATTACAGAGTTTTCAAGCAAACACTTCTTTCTGCCTCCTGCATCTGTGATGATGTCTGTTGCCTAGGATGATTTTTTTAATCAAAACAAGCCTATTTTGTCAGTCAATGTTCAGATCCAATGTTGCATCATTTTCCTGGCGCATTTTTCTTCCTTTTTTGTTTTTCATTTATAGCTGTGTAGCTACTGCTATTGTGATAACCTGTACTGAATTTGTTGGTTCGGGTGTTGCAGTTCAGTTTAGGAACTGCATTGGGTTCTGTCCCCTTGCTGTTCATGTGAGCAGCTGTGAGCAATGTCATCATTCTCTGCACAGTTCTTCCCCATTACAAAATGCAGGTAGCGACATTGCTGTGAAGTGTAGCAGGATACGTAACTAAATTAATCTGGATTAGAATTAGTGCAATTAGTGCAATTAGAAAATTGCATTAGAATGCAATTTTCACTGGAGTAGAACTAGTGAAAATTGCATAAAAAACTATACTAACAGGAAGCAAGCAGCATTTCGGATACTGAGCATATTTACTTGGCCCAAAGGTGGGGGCGGGGGAGATTCAGAAGGCTATTGAATGCAGAGCAAGTAATGTTAGTCTTGTTTCTACCAGGGAAAGAAATCAGTGATTCAATTCTGTTGTTGTCCAGTTTCCTTAAATAGTACGAAAATAGTCAGGTTTGCTGCTGTTAAACACTTGATGAGAGATCTCTAAATTCCTCTGTCTTGAAAGTTTTTAGGTTGTTTTTTGTGTAGTGTTTTTTGTTTATTTGTTTTTTCCTCTTTCCAAGACCAGTTTTCTTGTTTGGTTGTAGTGTAGCGCAGGACTAGATGCTAATCAGCTCTCTCCAAAGAAATGCAAAGAAACGAACAAAAATTATGTTGAAGACATAGCCAATGAGGCTATTAACTTGCTGTGGAATGTGTGGTAAGTTCTCTCTTAGAAGAGCTAAATTAGATTGCTCCTTAAAAAGTTTTGCATGATAGTTGAGGCTGAAGGAAATAGCTTTCCCTGTGGGGAAAGATTATTCAGTTGCTGATTCTCACTTCTGATTATGTTGCTCCTGTGTGTGCTTTGCACAACAAATGATGAGCCATCATCTGATCTGAAATATATTTGCTGTCTGCTACTGTAGATTACTTTTGTAAGTGAAGATTTTTATAAGTGTGTCAGGTTGGTGAAATTGGTCATTTGTTTAAGGAATGTGATGTTTTTATTTTCATTTGTTGTTTATTTGAAATTCTGATGCTTTTTTCTCAAAGCGTTCTGTGAAAGTCTCTTTGAAGACACTTGTACAGTTTGGATTCTGTGGTCTTGCCTGTAGTTCCTGTAGATCCTTACTGTAATATGGGGGGAAAAAATTCCTATCAGTGGACTCCATTGTTCTGGGAATATGAGGAATTCTTCACTGCTTCCTCCCTGCTCAGATCTTCCCAGAGTTTCAACTAACTAACCCCTTAATGACTTGGACACAGATAAAATCTGCTTAATTATCTGATAACAAATGTGAGTAGTTTCATGAGTAATTTACATTAGAAGCATTGGGCAAACAAAGAGTAAAAAATGGGCAACAGTATTAATACAGATATAGCTATGAACATTGAGACAGTGCAAACTTAGTACAAGTTCTTCTTCTTGAACTTTATTTTCTTGCTTTTGCTTTTGATTCAGTATTGTAACAGTTCCATGTTGTTACTTCAGTCCATATAGAGTTTGTCTTGTACTAGACAGAATTTCAGAGGAGCTGTCTGTATGTCTGCCCATATGGAATGGCTGCTGGCTTGAGGCCTCTCTTCTAAATCTGTTTTCTTCATGACTAAACTCTAGATCAGTACAGAAACTGCTTGCTCTGCACCTGTGTAGAATATGGCATCTTATTGTAACTGTCTGAACTATCGATTTCAGTGTCCATTTCTCTATTGCTTTTGCAGACATGAGTGCGTGGGACAGAAGCAAGGTCTTTTAAGTGTGTTATAAATCACTTCTGTATTTTGAACTCTGTGGCATTGATAGTGAACCATTGGCATCATTGCTAAGTTCAGCACTGATAAAACCTAGACTGATATTGATGCCGAGCTATAATATTTAAAATAAATAAATCTTTGAGGAGCTATGTAGCTAGTTCATCGTTGTATGTAGCTAGTTTGTCTTTTGTTAATGTTGTACTTAAAAAAGGATATAGCTGTAAATTTAAGGAAATACAAATCCCACTAGTTAGCTAATTGAGCAGTACATTTTGTATTGTTTCAGCAAGCATTTTTAAATGCCAGTTAGCGGTATTTTATTATTTTTTATAGCAAATGGGCACTTAAGTTGGAGAGGCAGCAGCCCGTTCTGTTATGAGTGGGTTTTTGGATACAGACTTCGGCCGCTGCAGAAGGGCCCGTTCTGGCTCACGGCCGGCGGCTTTGCTGCCCTCTGCGCTCTGCTGCACGAGGCTGTTCAAGCCGCTCAACTCCAAAACAAGGTGTGACGAGGTAGCTGGCAGAAGCCAGTGTTGTTCAAAGGTTTCCAGGGTATCCCAGCATCTTCCCCACCTTATGAGCTGTTCACCATAACCTCAGTAATGAGGGAGAACTCTGGGACTAGCAATTTGTAATTCTTAGGTGGGTTTTTAAAATATAAATGCTAGAAATGTTGAGTACATGTTACTTAAAACTTTGTTACAGCTTTTTTTTTTTCCCTGGGAAAAGTGTTTTATTAATTTTTCTGTGTGATAGTGAATGCAACAATACAGCAGTATCTATATTCAATAAAGAAGGGTGTCTGGAGGCTGTATTACATTATATGAAGAAATTCTCTACGAATGTGGATCTGGCTATTTCAGTAGGTAAGTAATAAAGAGAAGATAAGGATCTGAAGTGTTTTTTGTTGTTGTTGTCATATGAATGTAAAGCATCCATTGAATAATGAGTAACGTATTTGGTGGTTATGTGAGAGGAAAAGTTTTGTGGGGGGAAAGAAATGCATTGTTCTTCTGTCTTGGTGTTTATTTTTTTCCCTCTTGTCTCCTGTGATGGAGAGTCTCCCTTGTAGAGAAAAGGGCATAATTAATCTGAAAACAAACAACTCCTTTCACTGTGAAAATATATTTATTGTTGGTATTGCTACTATATGGTCTTATAATAGTCTTGCCATTATATGTTCTTGCCACATTTTTTTTCTGTTTTTCCTAGTCAGTGGAGAAATGGATTTTTTGAGAAGCTGAATTTAATATAGCTTGTGCCATGTCTGACCTGGTACTGACCTCACCTGTTTTACATGCTCTTTTGCCAAAGGATACCTTTTAATGTAAAACACAATTTGTGGGAAGGGCATCTTTTTTTTTTGGTGTTTGTCATTTTATTACAATATGTTGTTGTTTCAGGCTATTTTTCTTTCCTGTGTTTGTGTTTTATTAACCCCAGCTTTCAGGAAGCTAAGGCTTTCTCTGTAGGAGAGTGAAAGCTACTATTTGGTTTGTTAATTGTTATTATTTTTTTATTTGCTACAGCAAACTGTTTACAGGCAGTGACAGAGGATAATCCTGAACTTCTTTCTTCATTCAATTCTTCTGCACAACAAGTACTAGAAAGTGTTCTGTTGTGTCCAGAGGGCACGATGAAGCATATTCTTCTGAGAACGCTGATAGCAGGTACAACATTTTAACAAATTTGGGTTTTTTTTGGTGATGGTAGCACAGAGTTTTACTCTGTTATCATCTTGACACCTCATTGTTGATGCTGCTACCCTAACGTTAGCTGTAAGCAAAGCCTGGGCAGACTGTTCATAAGGTTATTTTCACTTGGAGTAAAAGATACCCCAAATATTTGAAACTAGTTTTAAAACTATCTCAAATATCTAATTGTGAATTCAATACATGCTTAGCATGATGTGTTTGTAGTGTGTTTGTTTGCTTTTTTTAAATGCTCATTTGATTTTCACCAGTAAAATGAGTCAGTAATAAGTAGTGTAGGAATTGGCTTGATCTTACCAAGCACAGGCTTACTATCTTGGGTTCTCTACCTCCTTCTGCGTCAGATGACAAGCCTGGTTGGGTTTTGGTTCTGGAGTATAAGAAATATGTTTAACTTTGAGAATCCTTTAGAAGTGATTATCTTATATGGGTTATCTGAGGTAAGAAACATCAAGCCCCGTATAAATATTCTGTGGATGCTGATATGCTGGAGTTTACTTGAGCATGAGGTCTGCGCACAGCAGACAGATTTGCATATGAAATCCTGAAGAGGAAAAATAATGCAAGCCTGTAGAGAAAGACTTGATCTTTGTACTGAAATATAAGCACTGTGTAATTGAACTAACAAGAGCTGTGTCTTTACAAAATAAAGGACTATTACAGAACTGTGAATTGAATATTTTAATAATTTTCATATTTAAACTCTCCTGTGTAGGTACTATCTGGAATATCAAGGACACCATTCCACCAGGCAGCCTGGCAAGCATGGTTAATGCAATCCTGAAGATTTTCTCAGAATCACTGGAAGTAGATGCTGGTGAAACAATTATTCGTTTGAGTGAAGCTGAAAGAAACAGGTTAAAACTTGCTGCAGAGGCAGAAACTGAGGAAAACATGAATGATGTTATAGACAACTGTGTTTTGAGTGAAGATAATGAAATGGAAGAAATACCAAAAGGAAAAGTCAGGCAAGAAAATGACATTTCTGACCTAATTCCAGTAAGTATAGCTGACCAGCTCACAGAGAGGTTGGTGTATCTGACTTGTTCTTAACGGAGTATTAGCCAGAATAACTGACTAATAACATTACTGATCTTTTTCCCACAAGTGGCTTGACAGTTTTAGCTAACCCTTCAAAGCTGAATGTGGAGAATTTCGTCACAAATGGTTGAAATGTGAAGTTACACAGCAGCGAGGATAAGGAAATGTGCTTTTCTTGTACTCCTCTAGTGTAAAGTGTAGGCCCCTCTGACGCCTGCATGTATAGCTAGCACAGGAGGTCCGTGATTGCTGCCTAAGGTAAATGAGATGTTTAATGGTTCTAAGTGTCAAGTTAAGTGTAGAGATTGAAGAGAGCTTAGTAAATATGCCCATTAGAGGGGGGAAAAAAGTACAGAAATAAGCATAGGAGTTTACATTTTGTTAATTCCTTTGCATTGTGACATTAGTGTAGATAGGATTTTTAAATGTAAAAATTGTTCACTGGTACAACTGAAGCATTAGATAGAAATAAAAATGACTTGTTAATGCTTCTAGGAGGATGAAAATATGGCTTAGGGTGGGATGGTGTTTCCTAGTGTTCTGTTTTTCATTGACAGTCTAGCTAGCTACTTCCAACTGCTCTGAAATGTTGTTTTCCAAAATTAATTTTTCCCTGTTTTCTTTTAGTCTAATAAGTGGGAGCTGAAAGAAGTGACAGCCTTACTGATGGCTCAGCAGACTGCTCTGGAGGTCATTGTTAACATGTGCTGCAATGAAGGTCTGTAGGAATCTCTTATGGCTCGTGTTACATAGTCTTCTGTTTCTGGAAAAAGTGATGTTTAGTTCACTACCTGGTGATCTTAACCTTTGAGGGTGAATGCACATATTTTTCTGACCCCCAATGCCCTCATCTTTTGAAGAATCATAGTATTATTGCCTGTTAAAGTATGTATTTTCCTCATTGAAATAATTTTATGTTACTTAAGTGTATTTTTGTAATATTACAAATCCTGTATGAATTATAATAATGTTTTCATTTGGTGTGCCTGTGTTAAAGAACACACTTGTGCAGAATGGAAATTTCATAAAATGTAACTAGTTTTTTTTGGGAGGGAGTTAAAGCACAGTCTAGCAGTTAATTTGATACATGGTGACTGAATCCTGTTGCAGGACTGCAGTGTTAGTTGAAGCAGAGTTTACTTTTTGTGTTTGGGATTTAGTTTTGATACTGTAAGAGTTGTGGGAGGTGGAGGAGAGGCAGTTTTAGATGAGACTCTTGACCACAGGGCAGGTTTGGGCTGTTTAGATTTCCACCTTGGCAAGTTTTCTTGGAGGAAAAGGAAAAGCTGTTTGGGGACGAGTTTAGGAAAAGCACATCCTGTATCTTCTATGAATCCTGATACTTGATTTTGATAGCTTTTCTTCAAATCATCAGGATAAATGGATTTGGAACTCTGCTTAAAAACAGAACAAAAAAACACGCCTCACAAAACCTGGAAATTTTAATTAGTAGTACAGTGCCTGAACCTGATGCAAAAGTAATTGTTTAGAAGATAATTTTATAAATAGATCTTGCAGATTCTAATAATAATAATAATAAAACCTCAGTAATACCCAGATATTACCAGTTGTGGTGATTTTTTTCTTTTACAGCACGAAGAAATTCTGCACCTAGTATATGAAACTCCTTTCATAACTCCATTTCTCATCTAATGAGCTGTAATTCATAAGCTTTCCCCTTTAACTGGAAAATCTCTTGTGGATAGGCTGCATATTCTGCCATTCACTCAGTGTAATGTAACATTGATTGTGTTGTATTTCACTACTTTACTCATTCGTGGGCAGACAGACATCTAGTCTGCAGAAATTAAGAGGAATCCAAAGGCAGCTGTTCATTTAATTTTTGGTTCTGTGGGGACTAAAATAGCCTTAGCCATTATGCTGCGTTCATAGAAATACTCTGCTTGCCACAGAACTAAGGGGAATAAGTAGATTCGTGAGAAGGGTGTTGGGCTGCATCTTGGCTGGCACCTGGAAGGAGAAGCAGGGATCTGGCCCCCTAAACAGCGACATGGGAAGGAAGTTGGGAGGCTCCGATGTTGCTGTCCAATTTGTGGGCTATAGGTGACCAGCAATAGTTAAGATGCTTTTGCCAGTGGACAAGCTCCCATATTTTCATCTGATATGGAATAAATCTAAATTTAGGTATGGGCTAATGTTCTACAGCCTGGTTTTAGTTCTGTTCTGTGTCTTCTCACTAATCCCAAACTGTGATTTAGCTGCTGTTCTCTGTGTTGAATTGCATGTTCAGCTAATGTTGTTTTTACTTAATTTTCGAAGATTTTATTTGCTTTGTAAAGATGCAAATGATTTTTACTTAATTTTCGAAGATTTTTTTTTATTTGCTTTGTAAAGATGCAAATGGATTTTTATTTATTTATTTATTTATTTTAGAAAAGGCAAGAGATTGAATGGAGGGGAGGAGGGTCTGCTTGTTTTGATGCTTAATGTGACAATAGAGCAGGACCTTGGGTGGCAGTGCATGAAACAGAGCCATTTGCTCTGGTAGAGGTTATTAACACCCAAGTATCACAGTTGTAAAAGGGATAGTACTGTATAGCAAAAAGAGCTGCTCAAGTGATCAACCCAGCCACAGCTTAATGAGTTGTTCTGTGGCAGATAAATGGCTTTTAAATATATTCTTCACCTTTAAATATATTCTAAAGCTTCTGCACAGTACTAGTGAAATGTGTTCATTTATAACTCTATTATATTTTAAGTGAATATATTTTGCTTTGCTTTTGCCACAGAAGAACTGTGTGACTTTTGCAGTACAGTTACTACAGTAACTAGATCACATATGAGTGCGTGTTGGCAGACAAAATCCAATGGGGGTGGATATAAGAGTGTGGTGTGTGTGTGGTGGGTTTTTTTTTTTCCCCTTTCTTTCATCACAGTAGTTAAATATCCTGACCTATTTACGCAGGCAGAACTTTCATCTGCCAATGAAGATCATTCCAACATGTAGACTTAGGACTTGTGTACACACCAATTTTGTACTAGTTAAAATGCAACTAGATTTAAAACAACTTTAGATAAATTGGTGTAAACCCCATGGACATCAATATATCAGCTTAAACATAAATGACCAACTTAGCTTGTGCTTGTCAGACCAAGTCAGCTGTAAGCCACGGGCAGATGCTCCTTTTGCAGTAGCAGTGCCTCAACTGTCCTCCAAAGGCTGGAGTTCAGCACACCTGCCCTTGCAGATCCCCTTGTTCCCTGAGCAAGAGCCAAGTACCTATTGTAATAAAACAATTTAAACAAAAATGATAAAATATTTATAACTGCAATTTAATGGCATGTGCTTTTGTGTGGACTTTGTTGGAGCAGTTGACCAGAACCACTTAAACCAAGAGCTGGTGCCTGGTTTAATTCAGATGAGGGGTACCTATGCATGAGTGCTCTTCTATTTAATAGTCTATATTTTGTTCTCAGATCCCTCTGACGACGAATGGGAGGAGCTCTCCAGCAGTGATGAAAGTGATTTGTTTATGGAAAATTCATACAATGAGGGCAGTGGGCTGCTAATGTCACCTCTATGTCTCTCTGATGAGGTTAAGTCAGCGTTTCTGAACTACCTCATTCCAAAGAAGGTATATATATCACAACTTTCTGCCTTATTTCTATCCTTGGCCATGCAAACAAATTATCATAATCCATCTGGAAAAGTCTTTTAAAAATCACTTCAGTGTTTTTTAACTTTTTTTTTCTTGAGATAACACAATGACATGAGCTGATTTGACCAAGTAATCTCTTTGTGTCAGTTAGAATAGAAGGTTCTTGTGTTTTAGAAACCGTCAGGTTTCTGAACCACATTTTTATTTGTTTTTATAGAAACTATAAAGACTATTTTTTTGATTTGGGCGTGAAAACGGTTAAGTGCAAAAGAAAAGGAACACTGAGTAGAAGAGCTAGCTACATTACCTCCAGCTCAGTTATGTGACCGACACTAGTCGGTATTGGAAAGTGTGTGTTCCTCTTTC